GTAATGTACATTTCAATAAAGTTGATATTATAAAAGACCCAAAAGTCAATTCTTTTAAATGACTAGTAAAACTAACAAACCCCTGGAAGTCTAATCATGAGCAAAAAAAAAATACAAACAAGTAATTTTGGTAATAAGAAGGACATAGTTACAGATAAAATAGGGATTTTAAAGAAAATAAAAATATTCTTAACAATTAATGATAAATATATATATATATATATATTTTTTGAAAACCTAATTTTAAAAATTTCAAGAAGAGCCCTGGACAAAGTAGTTCAGCTGGTTAGGGCATTGTCCTGATATGCAAAGGTTGCAGGTTCTATTCCTGGTCAGGGCACATACAGGAATCAATCAAAGAATTCAATAAGTAAGTGAAACAACAAAAGTCTCTCCTCTCTCTCTCTCTCACACACACACATACACAGGAATCAGTCAAAGAATGTATAAATAAGTGGAACAACAAATCTCTCTCTCAAATTCAATAAATAAAATTTAAAAGGAAAAATATTTTCAAAAGATAGGACATCTGTATAGCCTCTAAAACCAATCAAAACTCTCACCACACACACTCTCTCTCTCTCTCTCTCTCTCTCTCTCTCTCTCTCTCTCTCTCTCTCTAACCTCAGCTTACCAGATGAATTCTAAACATTCAGGGAACACAAACTCTTCCAGGATAAGAAAATCACTAAATCAGGTAAATCCTAGAAATGCAGGTATTCTTTAAAATTAGAAAATCCATGAAGGGTGTATGGAGGTGGCTAGTAAAGGGTAAAGGGGGCCAAATATATGACAGAAAATGATTTGACTGTGGGTGGTGGGCATACAATGCAATATACAGAACACATTTCACAGAAATGTATACTTGAAACCTGCATGATCTTATTAACTAATGTCATCCAAAATTTAATTTAAAAATAACTAGAAAATTCATGAACATAATTTACTACATTAACAGGTTTTTAAAAACCCATAGAATCATCTCAAAAGATGCAGAATATAACTAGTGTTTAAGAAAAATCATTTTTTAAAAGATGAAGACACATTCCACTATATCTGTAGTCATTTTTATTGGGCTATACCATCAGAAAACATACATGATGGACAAGTCATATAATGGGCTCTATAAACAATACATAATGGTTATATAGCTTACAAATCATTTTGGAGCCATTATCTACTTAAACTAGCCACTATCAAGTAGGTATCACATTTTAAAAAACATATAAATGAAGAAACAGATTTAAAAAGGTGAAGTGAGTTGTCCCAAATCCCAGTTATTTTCATTCTTTATTTTGTTGGTTCTCTGATGTCCTGTGTTATATATGAACTTAAAAATGACAGATATCTAACTATAGATAATATGTGATTTAAAAAAACAAAATCTGAATCCAGTTCTCTAGTGTTTCCCACATGCTCTTGGAACAAAGAGACAAAAATGTTTAACTCCATAGTTTCTATTTAGTCATATCTATCTTTCCTTTTCAAGTTGTAATCTACAATTGAAGATTGGCATTTCCCCCATTTAAAAACTATAGTTTCTTAAAAGCTGGATGAAGTTTGCAGACTGGTAGTTTCTACCTACCACCCTGGCAGCTTCTCTGGGGAACCAGTGAGCATTCCCTTTTGGTAGTTAATCCTGACTGGTTACAAACAACCTAGGTATGTTACAATGTCTGACAAAGTTGACATGTGACTTCAGGGTCAAAAGGAAGGATGCCATGAGAAAGGTGGAGAAGCCCTCTTCCCTATTCCTCTAAGTATAACTAAAACCCTGGACACAACATATAAAACAATCTAAGAAGATTCTGGAAGGTGGAGAAGATTCGGGGAACCTGAAGAACGATATACCACTGAGTACCTTGGGCTTTCCTTTTGCCTCATCTATCCCAAGGCTGGGTACTGAGGAAGCTGGTAACCCAGAAATGCCATAGGCATAGACCAAAAAAAGGCCTAAGAAAAGTCTGCTCTTTTGAGCCAAAGGACTAGCAAAGGAGCAACCTCTCAAGACAGAAAATTTTTAGACAATAACCACTCTCCTCCAGCCAAAGGCCATGAGAGAAAACTTCAGCACTATCCATAAAAACAAAGGCTGAATCCACCCTCACCAAGATGTAAGCCCACCTGGAGTGCTGTCAGAGAAGGTCAGGTGAAGAGACAAGGTTTCCAAAAACCACCTCTCTCCCATTCTACCCCAGCAGTGTCAATGGAGACCATGTTCGGAGACCAGGCTTCTAACCCTACCCAGAGACCAGATGTCTCTCTCCCTTCTTTACTGGTTTGGACTGTGGAGGCCTAGTGGAGGATCAGGACTTTCGCCAATGACCAATAGTCATGAGGTCCCAACCCTACCCAACCCTACCCCATGATGTCAGTGGAGGCCATGCAGGGAGAAATAATGAGACACTCCTGTCCCTCCCAGATGGTTGGTATCAGTGTGGCCCTCGTGGGGAGCTATAACTCCCACTGTTGCCCAGCAGTATTGAGGACCCCTGCTTAAACAGAGGCTAACAGAGACTTCCCACACCAACTTACAGCATTCCTCCATTAGAGGCCAGCCCAGATAGAATATTTAAACAATATAGAGAATCTCCTAACATAATACCCAAAATGTCCAGATTTCAACTGAAAATCACTCATCACACCAAGAACCAGGAATATCTCAACTTGAATAATAAGACAGTCCACAAATGTCAAAACTGGGATAACCAAGATGTTAGAATGATGTTATATTAAAACAGCTATCATAAAGATGCCTCACTAAGCAATAACAAACATGCTTGACACAAATTTAAAAACAGAATGTCTCAGCCAAGAAACAGAATGCAGAGTCAGATGGGACTGAAAAATACAGTAACAGAACCAAATGATAGGCTTACAGGCAGAATGGAAGAAACAGAGGGAAAAAAGCAGTGAATTTGGAGATAGAACAATATAAAATACCCAATCAGAATGAGAGAAAATTGCTATGGAAAACTCTTCCCTCAAATTCGTATGTTGAAGCCCTAACCCCCAGTGTGACTGTATTTAGAGATGGGGCTTTTAGAAGGTAATTAAGGTTAAAAGAGGTTATAACTATAGGGTCCTAATCTGACAGGGTTGGTGTCCTCTAAGAAAAGAGAGCTCACTCTCCCTCTTCCCTTACACACATGTATTGAGGAAGGGTTGGGAGGCCACAGCAATAGGATAGCTCTTTGTAAGCCAGTAGCAACTCTCATCAAAGCCCAATCAGCTGGTACCTTGATGTGACTTCCAGCCTCCAGAACTGTATGAAATATACTTCTGTTCTTTGAGTCCCACAGTCTGTGGTATGGCAGTCCAAACCAGCTAAGATAGATTTTGGTACTGCTAAGACAGATTTGGGGTGCTGCTATAAGAAATACCTAAACACGTGGACATAGGTTTGGAACTGGGTACTGGGTAGAGGCTGGAAAGATTTTGAGGTACATGCTAGAAATACAGATGTTAAAGGCCGTTCTGATGAGGTCTCAGTCAGAAATGAGGACGTTACTGGAAACAGGAAGAAAGGTGATCTTTGTTGTAAAGTGCAAGTGGACTTGGCTGAACTGTGTTCCACTGCTTTGTGGAAAGGAGAACTTGTGAGTAATGAAACTGGATATTCACCAGAGATTTCTAGACAAAGCACTGAAGGTGAAGCTTGGGTCCTCCTCACTGTTTGTAATAAAATGTGAGAGGAGAGAGAGATGAATTGAAGAAAGAATTGTTAAGCAAAAAGGAAAAAGAACTTGAATATTTGAAAAATCCTATCTACCTATATTGCAAAATATGAGAAAGCTTGTTCAGCTGTTGCTGACTAGCCTTTTAATAAAGAGATAATGAGTGTGACTCATCAATTTAATCAATCACCTCAAGCAGAAGTCAGAAATTGAGATGAAACATTGCCAACTGGTACTAAAGGAGACAGAAAACACTAGACAAAATGAAGGCAGGCTGTCAGACTTCTTAGATCCTATAGGACCAGACAATAGAACCATAAACATGCCCTATTCTGCAAGAAGAGGAGAAGAAATAAATTCAGAGATCAGGTTGCCTCCTCAGTTTCAAAGGCAGGGGCGATGTTTCTGAAGTGTCAACAGGCCAGCCACATGGCCTTAAACTAAAGCTTCGGGGACAGGGTGACCCAGCTGAGTCTTGGTGTTGGGACTGCTGCAGCAGTGAGTTCTGAAGGCAGGACCCCTGCTGCAGTGGGTCTAGAAGGTAAGGCATCAAGATCTGATGAAATTCAACCTGGCTGGTGTGGCTCAGTGGATTGAATGCCATTCAATTCCCAGCCAGGGCACATGTCTGGGTCTCTAGCCAGGTCCCTGGCTAGGGGTGTGTGAGAGGCAACCAATCGTTTGTCTCCTTTTCTTTCTTCCTCCCTTCCTCTCTCTCTGAAAATAAGTCAAACCTTAAAAAACAAAAACAAAAGCAAAAATATCTGATGGAATTTGCCCCACTGGGTTTTGGACTTGCTTGGGACCCATTAACTCTTCCTTCATTCCTAGTCCTCCTTTGGGAATGGGAACATCTGTCCTATGCCTGCCCTATCACTGTGTTTGGAAGCACATAACTTGTCTGGTTTCACAGGTTCACAGCCAAAGAGGAATCTGCCTCAGGATGAATTATACCTTGAGTCTCACCCATATCTGATGTATGTGAGACTTTGGACTTTAGAGTTGATGCTAGAATAAGTTAAGGTTTTGAGGGTTATTAGGATGAAATGAACATATTTTGCATGTGAGAAGAGCATGAATTTTGAGGGCCAGGGGGAAATGCCATGGACTGAATTGTTTCTCCCCAAAATTCATATGTCAAAATGCTACTTCCAATGTGACTGTATTTACAGGGAGGGCTTTTTGGAGGTAATTAAGGTAAAATGAGGTCAGAAGGCTAGGTTCCTAATCTGACAGTGCTGGTGGCCTTTAAAGAAGAGGAAGAAAGGTCTCTCTCAGTCCCCCCCCACACAGGCATATATCAAGAAAAGGCCATGTGAGGGCACAATCAGCAAGAAAGCCAAGAAGAGATCCATCAGCAGAGACTAAAGTTAACACCTAGATCTTAGACTTCCAGTCTCCATAACTGTGAGAAATAAAATTCTGTTGTTTGAACCACCCAGGCTATAGCATTTTGTTATGGCAGCCTGAGCAGATTAAGGTCAATATATACTGGAAAACAATGAACAGAGCCTCAGGAACCTTTGGGATTGCATGCAAAGACCTAACATTTGTATCAGCATCCTTGAAGGAGACAAAGGATAGGAGTCAGGGCTGAAAATGTATTCAAAGAAATGATAACTGACTCTGGCTGAGTAGCTCAGTTGGTTAGTGTCTTCCCAATATACCAAGTTGTGGGTTCAGTCTCTAGTCAGGGCACATACAAGAATCAACCAATGAATACATAAATAAGTGGAACAACAAATTGATGTTTCTCCCTCTCTCTTTCCCTTTCTCTCTAAAAATCAATAAAAAGTTTTTTAAAAAGAAATGATATCTGAAAATATCCCCAATTAGGCAAAAGACACAAACCTACAGATCCAAGCTCAGCAAACAGGATAAACTTAAAGAAACCCACACACAGACACATCTAAGGTCAAATGTGGGAACTAAAAACACAGCATTCAAAATGTTTCCAATAATAACCTTCAAAGTTTCAATTATATATATATATCATGTCACCTGCCTCTTTCCAAGAGTAAAATGGTGAAAGGCAAGTATTTCAAAGACTTCAAATTTTCACAAGCTAATACGCAGTGTCAGTTCAGGCCTACAACTAAATTTTACTATGGTATGAAAAAGTCTAAAGTATAATCAACATATGATTAGGATAAATCTTCATAAATAAACATACTATCAGGTAACAAAGATAACTTAAAACAGGCTGAAAACATCAAAGGTCCCTCTATACTCCCTTTTTCTAGGATACAGGTTTGACTCTGGGAGTTAACGTGATTCTCAGTAGATGTCTCAATAAGGAAGTCTAAAAGACACAAAAAGTGCAAAAGTGAACTGCTAGGCCAGCATTCTCTAGCTTCAAGGGAACTGCCCTCATAGAAATTTTCCAACTGACCAACTAACTCATGTGTCTCATTTTTTCCTGGGTACAAGTAATCATTTGAGTAGCTATCTCAATCAACAATTTTCCCCTCAAGAATTGTTGATTGAAATAATTACTTAGATGATTACAACTTTGATTGAGATAACTACTGAGATGACTATTCACACCCAGGAAAAAATTTCACATAGTCTTTATACAGTATGAATTCTCTTTAGCTTACTGAAGGCTCAATGCTCAGTAAAGGCTTTTCCATATTCCTTGATTTTCCCTCCAGCATGAGTTTTCTGATGTTGAGAAAGGGATGAACTCTGGCTGAAGGCTTTTCCACATTCCTTACACTTATAAGGTTTTTCTCCAGTATGAGTTTTCTGGTGCTTTGTGAGAGATGAGCTCTGGCTGAAGGCTTTGCCACAATCATTACACTTGTAAGGTTTCTCTCCAGTGTGTGTCCTCTGATGACGGATGAGGGCTGAGCGGTCACTGAAGGCTTTGTCACAATTGTTGCATTTATAGGGTTTCTCCCCCGTGTGAGTTCTCTGATGTTGAGTCAGGGCTGAACAGTAGCCGAAAGCTTTCCCACATTCATTACACTCATAAGGTCTCTCCCCAGTATGAGTTCTCTGGTGCTGGATGAGGCCTGAACGATCACTAAAAGCTTTCCCACATTCATTACACTTATAGGGTTTCTCTCCAGTGTGAATGACCTGATGCTGGGTAAGAAATGTACTTTGGCTGAAGGCCTTCCCACATTCATTGCACTCATAAGGTTTCTCTCCAGTGTGAATTCGCTGATGTTGAGTGAGGTATGAGCTCTGATTAAAGGCCTTCCCACATTCATTGCACTCATAGGGTTTCTCTCCAGTGTGAATTATGTGATGCCGAATAAGGGCTGAGCGGTGACTAAAGGCTTTCCCACATTCGTGACATTTGTAGGGCTTCTCTCCAGTATGAATTCTCTGGTGGAGAGTAAGGTGTATGCTCTGGCTAAAGGCTTTACCACACTCATTACACTCGTAGGGCTTTTCTCCTGTGTGAATTCTCTGATGCAAGACAAAAGCTGAATAGTAACTAAAGGCTTTCTCACATTCATTACACTTCCAGGGTTTCTTTCCTGCACAAATTCTCTCATGCCTCATTAGATCTGAATTTTGCTTTAGGTTCTTTTTAAATGAATCACAATTATGTAGTCTCTTTCCTTGCCGTTGAACAAGTAATGACCTCTGACCAAAATTTCTTCCAAATTCATCACATTGGTAATGACTCTCCCCAGAAGATTTCTTCTGAGTGACAACTTCTTGCATTAAATGTTTCTCATGGTTTTCCTGCTGACTCTCCAAAGAATCCTCACATCCACTATCATCTTCCTTTGGAAATCTTTCTATTAATACACCAGGATTTGACTCCTCTTCAGAAACATCCTGCTCTGGAGTTAGCTCCTTGCTTTCTGGTGTTGTCTCCCAGCCTAACAGAAACAAAAATGTACATGTATCATTTCCTACACTGACAGTAAAGTAATTGCTGTGGTAGGAAAATCATAAAACAAACAAAAATGCTACAGGGAACACTTGAACTCAAAAGCTCTCAAAAATAGCCTTGTCATCTTGAGAGAATGCAAGGAAAGAAAGATGACTGGGCAAAGAAGTTTAGCAGCAAACAGGAAGAGGGTGAGTAGGCACTCACAATTCCTCTATCCAGTGGGTAGGAAACAAGAAACAATAATAAAATAAGGCTAAGTACAGGTGATAAAAAACAGAGTCTGGGGAAACAGGGCTGGGATCAGAGGAAGATGGTTTCCTAGAGACTGCTCATTGACAGCCACCACACTTGGAAAGATGTGGATTTGACCCTGTTTCTTTTGTCAGGCTGAATTACTACAGGAGTCTCCCAACTGATTATACTTTATTTACTCTAATCTTGTCTAATTGAGGCAGCAGAATCCTGCAGAACTCCCACAGTGAGTTTCTTACTCTGCTAGTTCTGTATTTCTCTATCTTCTTTTAAGGTATTTGATAGTCTACCTGCCTAACCATTTTAACTTCTCTATTCTCCAACTTGAACCCTTAACACTTTGCGTCTCAAGAATGATCATCATTAGCTGATCCCCTTCCACCAGTCTTTTCCCATTTTCCAAAATGTCCCACTCAACATTAACAGACCAACTTTCCCAAACTCTCCCTCTTACACAAAATTCTCTATTGGTTCCACTGTCTTGAGATGAGTCGTATATTCTAGAAACTAGCATTCAAAGTGGTCAAGATCAATGAATTCAAACAATCACACAGCTTACTAAATAAGCAACGGGTCATCTCTGATTGTCTCACATCCAACAAACTGCAAATAGCAAAACAAAAGCAACTTTTAAAAAACAATGAATAGCAGGCAGAGAGGGAAAGTTCAAATCCCCATGTGCTCACATTGGTCCCCAACCTGTGGGAATATCTGTGCTCAAATTCTAGTCTTCCCAGCAAGAGTTTGGGGGGAATGCTTCACTGCTAAAAATGTTTAAATATTTCCAGGCTTAAATAGTCTTTAATATCCATCCCAACCATGATGGTACATAAAATATATCAATATGATGCAATGTCCTTAACTACATATCCTAATTAGGGAAGTGCCGAGGATTTTAAAGGACAAATAGGTAAAAATAGGTTAAATGTTAATGGACTTCCAGCTAAAAGGAGTTTGAAAAACTAAAGCCCCAAGTGTGCATGGAGAACACACAGTTAGTGAGGAGAGTAAGACACTTGCCTGTCTGGTGTTAAGGGTTCATGTTGGAGAATAGAGAAGGTAAAATGGTTAGGCAGGTAGATTATCAAAGGCCTTGAAAGAAAGTAGAGAAATATGGAACTGGCAGAATAAGAAATTCACTGTGGGGAATTCAGCAGGATCCCATTGCCTCAGTTAGACAAGATTAGACTAAAGAGAGTATAATCAGTTGAGAGTCTACTGCAGTAATTCAGCCTAACAGAAGCAACAGGGTTAAATTCACATTTTTAAAAAAAGTTACCAGGATTTAATCAATAGCTATCATTTATTTATCATACAGCCAGTTACTGTTCTAAGCATTTATCTTGGATTTTTTCATTTGATCCTCACAACAACCCTTTGAGTTAAGTGCTATCATTATCCTCATTTACAGTTGGGTAATTTGAGTCACAGAGAGGATAATTCACTTGTTAAAGGTCACAGAGCTAGTGAGTAGCTGAAATTGGCTTTGGACCTAGAAAGATTGGGTCTAAAGTTACACTCCTAACATATGCTATGCTGCCTCTGCTTAGATAGAGAAGAAGGCAAGGGAAAACTCAGAGATCAATTTATAGTCATTGCTGTCAGACAAAAAGGTACATTATCCTACAGAGATGAAATAAGATATATGAAAAAGCCTGGTTTAGAGTCTTGCACCCATGAAAATTATTAACATACCTTAAAATGCTGATTTCATTTCACCTTATGGGGAAAAAGAATTCATTTGAAGGAGTGGAAAGTATTTACCTTCTAAAAAGTAAAATTATGAATTTATAACAGATCGTCATCCACAGAGGGTAAGCGTGGCATGGAAGAAAGGGACTTCAACTTTTCCATGGATCTCACAAAATCTGGAAAGGCTCCTGCACAAGCGTTTCAAAGAGGTTTTTCCCACTGACCATCTGGGTTTTAAGCTCCCTGTTTGCAACACTTACTCACCTGGACTAGTGGCTTTTGAGGCTTCTCTCTCCAGCTTCTCCCCACACCCCAACTGAGAGATTATATCAGGCTTGGAAATTGGAAGCCCTGTTCACGGGGAAAGAAAAAAGAGTCTGAGTCGCAGCCCTGGCTGGCGTAGCTCAGTGGATTGAGTGCGGGCTGGGAACCAAAGTGTCCCAGGTTTGATTCCCAACCAGGGTACATTCCTGGGTTGCAGGCCAGAACCTCCAGCAACCACACATTGATGTTTCCCTCTCTCTCTCTCTCTCTCTCTCTCTCCCTCCCTCCCTCCCTCCCTTCCCTCTCTAAAAATAAATAAATAAAATCTTTAAAAAAAAAAAAAGAGTCTGGTAAAAAGCCCAGGGTTAGCTCTTTGGTAGTTAGGAAAGACAGTACAAAAGAGAAGTAAGTTCTAGATTTCTCCCTCACCAGTACTCAGGAAAAAGGCAGAAAGATTAATACAAGGTTTATTTGAATTAAGAACAATTGGGTCGCTTGTTTTACCTCTCCCTATTAAAAGAATAAGCACCTATTTCTTAAGAGATGTTTTCACTAGAACTTCATGTCAATATCCTTGGTCAGGGAGTAGAAAAGAAGTCTGCTACTACTTGGGCAAATATAATAAAAAGGAATCCATTTCTAACTCCAGGAGTATAAAACTACATCCAGAAACAAAAGGCAAAAATTACCTACCTCAGGCCTTTCAGGAATTAAGACTCTTTGAATCTAAGAACCTCAGAGCTCCTAGGCATTGAGGAAGCAAATTACCACACTGAGTAAATTCACAGGCGGACAAGGAGCCATCCTTACCCAGCAAGACCAGGTTCCTATGCTTCTCGGGCACATCTCCCTGAGCAGGGTTCAGCTGCTCCCACTGGGTGAGAGCCTCAGCCATATCCCTGGTCATCAGTGACTCCTGAAAACCAAACACATCTGTGCTCACCAAGGGACCTCCTTCCAGAGGCCTCTGGGAAGGAATCAAATTGACAGCATAAAAGGAAGACAGGAAGGACAGGAAGGTTACACAAAATGACCTCTAACAGGCCAACATGAAAATTCTCTGGTAAATAGTAGTCACTCTTCATCCATGGGGGACATGTTCCAAGATTCCCAGCAGATGCCTGAAATTGCAGAGAGTAGAAAACCCTATATATACTATGTTTTTTTCCCCATACATTCATATCTTTCCACTTAAAAAAAGCACTTATAGCTTGTCTTTGGTATAGCTGAATTGCCACCATCACTACTCATGTGCTTTGGGGCCACTAATATGTAAATTAAGGGTGACTGGAACATGCACTGTGATACTCTGATAGTTGATTTGATAACAGAGATAGCTCCTAAGTGACTAATGTGTGGGTAGTGAAAAGAGCAGGGTGCTACTGGAAAGAGATGATTCACATCCTGGACAGCACAAGATTTCATCATGCTACTCAGAAGAGTGCACAATTTAAAACTTATGAATTACTTATTTCTGGAATTTTCCACCTTTAATATTTTTGGACCATGACTGACTGCAAAGTAATTGAAACTGCAGAAAGTGAAACTGTAAATAAGGGGAAATCTGTATTTGTAGTCACAGACTAGCTCCTTGTCTCTATGCATTAGGACTGCATGTTACCTGAAAATAGGAAGGAAGCACCTTTGATGTAGGTACAATACTACAATACAAATCTGAAGGTACAATACTAAGTTATTAGTCTATATGTCAATAGATTAAACTATAGAACTATAGAAAGCCTTACTATGAGGTAGGACCCTCCAACCCCCCCCCCCCAAAAAAACAGAATTATCTTCTGTAGGTCAGGCCCCTTGTAGTACAGGATTCCCCCTCTAGGTGAGTGTGCTAGGAACCCACCTGTATCAGTGTACCGGCTGGTGCTGTTGTGAAAGGCTGTGTTTGGCTTCAGTGAAAAAAATTTTTAAGACACTTTCATCACATTTGCCCATTCATGATGGGTGATCTATGAGCACATCTGCCTGCACTGTGCTGAGTGTTCAGTAGTTTTTGACCAAAAACAGCATGACCCCCATGCCCCACCCTTCCTATTCACCTGATCTTGCCCCTGAGTGACTTATTTTTATTTCTCCAGATGAAAAAAGTCCTCCAAGGGAAATGTTTTGCCTGTGTAGAGGAGGTAAAACAACAACAACAAAAAGAGTCAGAAGCACTAAAAGGCATCAAAATCAACAAGTTCTAAAATTTTTTGAGCAGTGGAAAAAACATCTTGATAGGTGTATTGCATCAAATGGAGAGTACTTTGAAGGTGACTGAATTTTAAACACATAAGAATGAATACACAATTTTTATAAATAAATTCTGTTTTGGGGGGGTCCTCTCTCGTATTTAGACATGGGAAGGTGGAGAAGATACAATTTTGAATGAAGTATTTTCCTTATGGTATGGTTTTAATACACAAGAGGTTCAAGAAATATGAACTATTTATCTCTCCAATTTTCCTTTGAGAACAAAATCAGTACAATAAACATTAAACATTAAAGTGTTTGCTACACACATCACAGAAATAGATTTATTTGTAAAACAGTATTATTTAAAAAGTTTCCAAAGTATTCTTGTCATTTCTCACGGAGGCCCTGGATGGGTCTGACTCCCTCCTGCTCTGCCATCTACCCCTGACCCCATCATACATTACTTCTCCTATGGTCTCTGTGGTACAATTGGTAGCCACCTTTCAGCTGCTTGAAATGTATGCCATATTCCCTTTGGTCTTTTTCCACATGCTGCTCCCTGTTCTTGCATGCTCTCTCTCTGCACATCCTTTCAGCTTTTTAAATCCCACTCACACTTCAGAACTCAGCTCAGGAGTTACCTCCTCAGGGAAGCCTTTCCCTACTCTCTGGATTATAGCACCGTGATCCTTCCCTTCTCTTGGATTATGCACATATTAAGGAGATTTTCTGATTAATGTCTCTCCCATTCAAAATAAGCTCCTTGAAAGCAGAAGTCAGGTCTGTTTTTCCTCACTTAAGCAGCCCTAGTACCTGGCACATAGTAGGAACACTAAATTTTTGTGAGATAGTTGAAAGAAGGAAAGAATACTTGATCAAGAATTAGTAGAACACTACCTGATGTGGCTCAGTTGGCTGGGCATTGTCCCACATAGTGAAAGGTCGCTGGTTCGATTCCTGGTCAGTGCACATGCCTGGGTTGCAGGTTCCATCCTGGACAAGAGGCAATTGACTGATGTTTCTCTCTCACATCAATGTTTCTCTCCCTCTCTCCCTCCCTTCCCCTCTCTCTAAAAATAAATAAATAAAATCTTTAAAAAAAGAATTAGTAGAAGCAACTTTTTACACGGGATGTTCTATAAAAGTGTGCATGGAAATAGAAGTGGGGAGGGGAACAGAAGTGTATCAAACATTGAAAACATTGCAGGAATGTTCACTCTAGCCTAACCTTGGTCTAGATGATAGGCACGAACCTTAACTGTCTACTAAAATGTGGGCAAAGGAGCAGGGTAATGCTCCTTTGAATCTATAGTCTGTGTTGCTTACTGTTGATAAGAGAAATGCCTAATAATTTTTCTAATTCTGTAAAAAAATTTCTATATAACTTCAACTTAAATGAGACACATTAACATAGGGGATGCTAGCAAATGAACTAGTCTAAGCCTTTTTTGAACTACACTGTTGCCACAGCCCCCTGAACATATGTACAAATATAATGGTTAACTTTGTGTATATGCAGTATATTAACATTTATGATATAGTCCTTCAAGGATAACTGGTAAAACAATTCACATAGTAAGTTTAAAAAACTACCTGCTTTGAAATCTCCTGGCCAAAATAATGTAATTCATTATTCTAATATTTGGAAGTATGAAATCACTACTCTCCTTATTTTAGTTTATGGTCCCTTGAACAACACGGGGGTTTAGGGGCACCAACCTCCCACCATGCACAGTTGTAAATCCACGAGTAACTTTTGACTTCCCCAAAACTTAATTACTAATAGCCTACCCTTGATCAGAAGCCTTACCAATAATGTAAACAGTTGATTAGCACATTTTTTATGTTACATGTATTGGGTTGGCCAAAAAGCCCAAAGCAATTTTGTTAGATTGTATTGTGGCAACAGTCATATCAGTGTGCATTGAAAGAAAACGTATCAAAATTGGTGAGTTTTTGTGCAACCATTTTAATATTGAAGATGGAAGAAAACAAAACATTTTCGGTGTATTATGCTTTATTTCAAAAAAGTAAAAACACAACTGAAACGCAAAAAAAAAGATTTGTGCAGTGTATGGAGAAGGTGCTGTGACTGCTCAAACATCAAAAGTGGTTTGTGAAGTTTCTTGTGAAGTTACTACTGACATATTGGCCAAATAATTCTTTGCTGTGGAGCTGTTTTATGCACTGGAGGATGTTTAGCAGCACCCCTGGCCTCGACCCACTAGATGCCAATAACAGGAGATAGCTGACATACTCAATATATACAAATCCATAAAGTTATTGGTGAAAATGAAAAATGTGTCTTTTATTTTATGAAAAAAACCAAATGGGCTTTTTAGCTAAGCCAATATTACATACCATATTCTTACAATAAGTAAGCTAAAGAAAATATTAAGAAAATCATAAGGAAAATACATTTACAGTACTTATTGAAAAAAACTGAAATATAAATGGGCCTGTGCAGTTCAAACTATTTTGTTCAAGGGGCAATCGTACTTTATAGTCTTCTTTCTTTACAATGTTCACTATACAGACAAACTGGCAGTTCCTTTCAGATTTCAGTTCCCTGAGAAAACCTCAGCAATCAAACTCATTTATGGAGCTACTGCTCAGTGTGCATGTGCTAGAGCAGGGGGCCTGGCCAGACTAAGCAGATGCTGTAACTTTCTCCTCCCGCTTTGCTCTGAAGGGGGTCTACAAATTCACAAAATGCCAGTACTGGAATTTTTCTCCTAGCATTTTACATGAAATATCAGCATCTGTGTGCTACAGGGCCAGGGCTGAGGCTAAAAATTAGTTCTAGTGCCTTTACCACAGGGTCTGCCATTCACTCCGTGTCCTAGGCCAGACCTTAGAGCATTTTGACCAATTTTCTCTCTCTGATCAGTTGTGGCATGTTTCATCTTGCTCAGCCTCTAAAAACTTTAAGGGGGGCTTATTTGCTTTACAATAAGATCCAGAGTAGATTTTCCTATGGTTTGTCTTGCTACAACATATCCCTGCTTCCCTCACCACACTCGAACTCACTCCACAGTGACACACATACTCCTTGAGTCTCCCATCACTTGGAGGATTTTTTTGTGTGTGAAAGCTGTTCTCTCTCATGGAATTTTTTCTGCATTTTATTCTCCAGCTCCCTACTCTCTCTCGTTTTTCAAAGTGCAGCTTTTATCCCAGTATTTTTTTATATTTTATTTTTATTTATTTGAAGAGAGAGGGGAAGGGAGGGAGAAAGAGGAGAGAAACCTCCATGTACAAAAGAAACATCAATCAGTTGCCTCTCTCACACCCGCAATTGGGAACCTGGCCTGTAACCCAGGTGTGTGCCCTGAACAGGAATTGAACCAGCAATCTTTTTATTTGCAGGTAGTCACTCAATCTACTGAGCCACACCAGCCAGGGCCCAGTTTCCTCCCACTCCCAAATATAGTCTCTAGAGAATGAAAAACCTCTTCCATGTCCTATTGTCTGTACCAGTCATTTCTGCATTTCTGCAATTTTATATATATATATAAAATTTCTTCTTGCTGTTGAACTATTTTACTTATCTACATCTGATCTCTTCAGTAAACTTCATGAGACAGGAGCAACGGACTTTTATTTGCCTCTCACCATGAGGCCAATTAGACTACTGCAGAGCTACTAAGTGTGCATCAAGCACTAAGTGGGTAGGGAATAAGTAATCAGGAGGAAAAGTTCTACACAAGTGAGGAACATTTATCACGAAGTTCATCACTCATCAATTTAAAGGGTGAACACAGTGGTCTAGGACTCAGGGCTGAGCAATTCCTTAACAATGGAAGAAACCACATCCATGCTCTAAGAACAGAAGGAAAAAAAAGAAGTAATCTAGACCCACCTGGGATACAGGGGTCAGCAGCACAGTGGTTAGCAGCACAGTGGCTGCATCCTTTTCTTTTGGGTTTCCAGCATGGGGAAGGTCTGAGTCCTCAGAAAATGGCCCTAGAAGTGGAGACAGGAACCATGATAATTACTCTTGCCTTGCAGTGAACTTGCAGAAACTGCCATAAACATCTACCTGTCACCTAAGAAGAATCAACTCAGAGAACCAAGGGACAACCTCACATCTTGGAATCAAGGTAGCCATGACCACGGCTGTCTCAGGTTACTCCTATCCTCCTCTGTCCTTAAACTCCAAAAGAATTCTGCTAGGAGAATCTGGACACATACGTTAAACACGTATTTCTGTCATCTGCTGAGTGGCGGTCAAAATAATAATCAAAGAATCTGTGTCAGTCTGTGCTTCATTTAATGATTCATTCCTGTTCCATTCCAGGCTCACTGGATGAAGGAAGACTAAATTTTTTTTGAACACTGGTTTTTCATATACGATACTGGCTTTGTCAGAAAAGCGATGGGTCTTACAGGGAAACATCCAGGATTCTAAACAAATCCTGTGGCTCCTCAAATTCTCACTTTTCCCATCTGCCCAATGGATCTAATAGTCTCCTTCCTACCCCCTTTTGGGGTTCCTGTGAGGACAAGAGGGAGTCATTCTCAAAAGTCAGCTCTGTTGATTTTGGGGGCAATGGAGGCATGCATCATCCTACGGATCAGCAGGCAGCGCAGGTAGCGACTCTCCAGGAAAGAACTCTCCCAGAGACGACTTATGCTTCCCGTGCCTGAGCCGGCCCCAGCCAGAGGGCAGCCTTTTTCCTTTCATCTCTCCTGCAGCCTTCGCGCCGCTTTGCTCCGAAATTCTCACCTCTGCCCCTGGTCTCAATGGCGACTCCCTCCCGTGGCCGGGCAGGAGAGCCCGCCGTGGGACTAGGGGTCCACTGTTCTGCCCACCCAGAGGCCTGGGGATGCGCGCGACCCTCGCCGGATCTCCTGGCACCCACCTGGGGGGCCTCCCTGCCTTCCCCCTCCAGCCACTCAGGCTTAGAAGTGCCCGCACTCAGCCCTCCTCGACCCCGGGCTGGACCTCACGCGAGACACGGAGGAAGCCGGGCGACGACAGAGGAATCGAGGAGCCCTGGGATCTAAGACACGCCGGCCGAAAACAAGGTCGAACTACCACTCCCAGAACCTTCCGCGCCGCGAGGCGCGTCACCGGAGGCCGGCTCCCAAAGGCTGTGGCGGCTCTCCAGTCAGGCAACCTTCCACAGTTTGGGCTCAATCTCCCGTTCCCTCTGCGCTGAAACTAGTCCTCCGCGAGCGCTCAGCACCTCAGAAAGCGTCTTGTGGGTAGTGGAAGGGTCACCTCTTTTTCGAGGCTGTCTCTGGGCTCTGGCCCCTAAAGATGCCCTCGGCCACGCCAAACCACGCCTCCCATGGAACCGTCACTCCGTGCTACTGGACCCCGTGGAGGGTGGACCCCCACCCGCAGGATCCCCTCCTCAGCTGTGAGGGGAGGTGCCTGTACCGCGTCCCCTCAACTGTGCCTCCCCGGAATGTTTATTCCAGGCTGCACCTCGGAATAAGGAAAAGTAGGATCTCAGCCCCGGAAATTACCTCAACCCAGAAAAAGCCAGGTCCCCAATAGTTCCCCCCCCACCCCCCCCACCCCACCCCCCCCACCCCACCCCCCGTCTTCAGGGAGACTGGAATCTGAAAGTCCTCCAGACTTCCCACGAGCTCTAGGAGCTGCCCGCCGGGAGTGCGTGCATGGATTTGTTTATCTCCCCGTTATGAAGTAACCAATTTTTCATCTATTTTAAATTCCAAGAAAGAAAATCAAATCAGCCAGGCTGTCCGTGTTTCAGTACAAGCCACAATGTTGGTTTGTTCTTTCTCTATAATTAAAGTCCCCTTTTAGCTAAGTCTCAGGTTTTCCAGAGTAAAGATTACATTTCTCATCAGCCCTGGCTCCTGCCGGGGGAAGGCAAGGAAAGTGATTCTTAAAATGAACAGGAAAGTTCCTACATTGCTGGCTGGAACACGGACAAGTCATTTTGAGCATGTGGACAAGGTTAACATCCTAGGAATTGTGAATCAACAAACGGAAGGAAGTGAGCCCCTAACAGTTTCCTGGAACAGAGCTTGGGCTTTAACGTGAGAGAAATGTAAACTGGTATTTTGTGTAAGCCCCTATTATATTGGGTTTCTGCTGCACAGATAGCCACACTGACTTCCTACCTGGTTTCTAGGTTGGCTGCTTTTGGTCTAATGGCTAGGCCTGGAGGAGAGGGTGCATGTGGTACCTATAGCCTTGCCAACTCAAAGAACTGCTGGAGGGAGTCCCCCACCCTTCCATCAGCAAGAATGGGCAATTTATTTTAAACAATGGTGTGTATGAAAGCCCCCACCAGCTGACATGTCTGGACATGAGGAAATACCCTTCTAACTTTCATTAGCCATCACAGAAACACCCCCCCCCCACTTTTTTAAAAACCAAATCTATGGTCAGTTCTCAGTCCTCTCACTTTACCTACTAACAGTAGTTTATAAAATTGATTATTCACTCCTGGAAACATTCTGGTTTTCTTCCTTGACTGGCCATTCCTCAGTCGCCTTAAATAGTTCCTCCTCTTCCCAACCTCTAAACCAATGGTTCTCCAGCTGTTTGTTGCATGATCAGAATCACCTGGAAGGTTTGCTGTACACTATGCTGAAAACAACCTTATCAGGATGTCTGGGGTGGGGCCTGAGAATTTGCATTTCTTTTTTAAATATATTTTATTCATTATGCTATTATAATTGTCCTATTTTTTTCTGCTCTTTACTCCCTTAGGCCATGCATGCCCCCTCCCACCAGCATTCCACCTCCCTTAGTTCATGTCTATGGGTTGTACATATAAGTTCTTTGGCTTCTCCATTTCCTATACTGTTCTTAACCACCCATTTTGTACCTACCATTTATGCTTCTTATTCCCTGTACCTTTTCCTTCATCCCCCCAACACACACACACTGATAATCCTCCATGTGAGCTCCATTTCTGTGATTCTGTTCCTGTTCTAGTTGTTTGCTTAGTTTGTTTTTGTTTTTGTTTTTTAGGTTCAGTCATTGATTCAGTCATTTAGTTTTGCTGTCATTTTACTGTTCATTTTTTTATCATCTTTTTCTTAGATAAGTCCCTTTAACATGTCATATAATAAGTACTTGGTGATGACGAACTCCTTTAACTTGACCTTATCTGGGAAGTACTTTATCTGTCCTTCCATTCTATATGATAGCTTTGCTGGATAAAGTAATCTTGGATGTAGGTCCTTGCCTTTCAAGACTTTGGATAGTTCTTTCCAGCCCCTTCTTGCCTGCAAGGTTTCTTTAGAGAAATCAGCTGAAAGTCTTCTGGGAACTCCTTTGGAGGGAACTCTTTCCTTTTCTCTTACTGCTTTTAAGATTCTCTCCTTATCTTTCATCTTGGGTAATGTCATTATGAAGTGACTTGGTGTGGCTTGCTTGAGTCCAACTTCTTTGGGACTCTCTGAGCTTCCAGGACTTCCTGGAACTCTTACGTCCTTTGCCTGATTGGGGATGTTCTCCTTCATTATGTTTTCAAATAAGTTTTCAATTTCTTGTTCTTCCTCTTCTTCTGGCAACCCTATGATTGAGATGTTGGAACATTTAAGTTGTCCTCGAGGTTCATAAGCCTCTCCTCATTTTTTTTTTTTGAATTCTTGTTTCTTCATTCTGTTCCAGTTGAACATATATTTCTTCCTTCTGATCATTGATTTGAGTCCTGGTTTCCTTCCCATCACTGTTGGTTCCCTGTACATTGTCCTTTATTTCACTTTTCATAACCTTCACTTTTTTCTCTATTTTGTGGCCATACCAAACCATTTCTGTGAGCATCCTGATTACCAATGTTTTGAACTGTGCACCTAACAGGTTGGCTATCTCTTCATCACTTAGTTCTATTTTTGGAGATTTGATCTGTTCTTTCATTTGGGCCATATTTTTGGTCTCAGTGCACCTTTTGCATTGTAAGGGACAGAGCTTTAGGTATTCATCAGGTGGGGCAAACCACACTGCTGCATTGTGGTGCTGTATGTGAGGGAGGGGTCCTAGAGGGAACAATGCCACTTGCTCGGCTCTTGGCCAGCTTCCAGCCTCTTCCCCTGCTACTCACAAGCAAATTAGGCCCTTCTAGTGCTGATTCCTGGGTGGGTGGTTTGTGTACATTCTAGGACCCTGTGGATCTCTCCAATGAAGTCTCCTGTGAGGCTGGGAGTTTCTCCTGCCACCACAACCCCCACTGAGTTTTACAGTTGGAAGTTTTGAGGCTTTATTTCCCAGTGCTGGAACCCTGGGTTGTGTGGTCTGTCTGTCTCGCTCCCCAGTTGTTCCTCCTGGTTTATCCTCAAATGTGGGACCTCCTGGTCCACCAGCCACCACCTTGCTGTGTGTCCTCTCTGCCCAGGCTGCCCAACTCCACCCCTCCTACTAGTCTGGATGAATGTTTCTTTAACTCCTTGGTTGACAGACTTCCAAACAGTTTGATTTTCTGGAAATTCTGGTTATTTTTTTGGTTTTAAATTTGTCAATATCCTTTTGGTTGTGCAAGGAGGCAAAGTATATCTACCTATGCCTCCATCTTGGCCAGAAGTTCAGAATTTGCATTTCTAAGAAGTTCCCAAGTAATACTGAAGTTGCTTATTTAGGAATCAACTACATAAATATTGGAATGTCCCGGAGCCCAATGGATAGTGGGGGACCTGTACCACCCAAATGTAGTCAATTCTCAATTTACATCTATAGCCATTAAATTCACATTCCAGGGGAAAGAAACAAAGAACAAGGGCAAAAGGGAGTTTCTTAAGCTGTCCTTCTCTTAAGGTACCTTTCCAGAAACTTCTGCAACAAGCTCCAAATATATCAAAATGTCATTGGCCTGATAGTTCATATAGCAGCATTTCATTGGTCTGATACCTCACTGCTGAGAAACAGGGCACTCTACTGCTCAGAACTGACTCAGATTTCCTATTATTAAAGAAAAGAGCCCTAGCTGGTGTGGCTCAGTGGATTGAGTGCCAGCTCAATTCCCAGCCATGCACATGCCTGGATTGCAGGCCAGGTCACCACTTGGGGGTGTATGAGAGGCAACTGATTATCTCTTGCACATTGATGTTTACTTTCTTCTCTTTCTCCCTCCTTTACCCTCTCTAAATAAATAATAAGAATAATAACTAGCTACAAGTTAGGCAACTAACAACCTCTGCCATAGTAAGCATTACTCAATGCTCATTATAATTTAGCTATTGCACATTACTTTATCATGAGGTTCCATAAAATGGCTCATCACATTGAATAGTCGATCCTAGGATATTTGGTCATTTGCCCCTTCTGCAGTCTTTGTGCAGGTTTAATACATATGTACGATGGAAAGAAATCTACATCCTTACACAGTACCTCTGGCATGTTCAACAAGCTAGGGACTACAGCAGGGGCCAGGTCTTTGATCATCATGGGGATTGATTTTTGTGGCCTCTGCTACTGGACTTCACCATCACTCTATTTGTCCTAAAGTCCCAGATTCCTGCTTATTAACAAGATGAAAGGAGAGAATGCCATGTTAATTCTCCATCCTTGAGTTTCTTTCGAAAGATGGCAGCTTTGCTCCAGGCAGTGTAATTCTCGGCTTCTGTGAAGAGGAGGAAAACTCTCGGATCAGTGGAGGAACAGAGCAAGTGACCTAGGTTACCAAAACATTTTTGAAAACAGGACATCAAAAATTATAGCGATCATTGAAAGACCAGATGGTAAGGAGACTGCTTCAGGACAAAAGGGACCCAGGGATCAGCGCGGGGATCAGGGGGGTTGCAGTCCCCAGCCCCGGTGCTCCTGGGTCTGCCTCAGGGCACCCTGGAGAGTGGAGTCGTTGCTCCCTCCCCAGACTACAGGGGTTGAGGAACACCAGGGGAGACCTTGTGGCTTGAAGGCACAGAGAGGGCAGTTGGACTGGGAGACAATCGCCCAGGGGCTGCAAGCACCCACCCATAGCCCTGGGAAAAGTGAGTGCCTCCAGCCGGCATGACCAGGGCCGGCCTGGTAGTGCGCCTGCACCCCCAGCCCTGTGGGAGTCTGGATCCATGGAAAACCC